CAGCACCACTGCTGCCCATTGGCTGCTGGAAGGTGTTTACCAGCAACGGGGCCCAATGGGGAGCCCGCCTTGCTCAGCCTCTTAGGGGCAGGTAGCACCTGTGGGAGGAGGGCTCCCCAAGTGGGTGCTGGGCCCAGAAGTGGGGTTTATCCCCTATTCTGCCTCTCCCCCAAATCTGGTTCAGGACCCGGGGTTTGGGGGAGGGGGGCGGTGCTCTAACCCAAGTTCACACCCCACCCATGATCGGGGCGGGAACAAAGGCCTAGTGTGCCCAGGACAAAGGAGAAAGGTCCCGCTGGCCCTTGTCCCCTGCTGAAGCCTTGCTGCAGCCCCTGGGACTGCCACCATGGAAACCCCTCCTACACTCGTTAATTGCCCCCGTGGGTGCCTGGGACAGGAGCCATCGTCAGGACAACAGGGCTGGCTCCCTGTCCTGCTGCCCTTTCCCCTGGGCACCCTCCCAACAGGGTGGGAGGAGGAGGGCGGGGCGGGGTGGGCATGGGGAGTAGAGGAGAAAGCACGCCTGGAGTCCTGTCCTGCTTAGATGGAGTAGTGGCCGTTCTAACCCTAACCCTAATCCTGACTGCCCTGCCAGCCTGCTTGCCTCACATCTCAGCGCCCTGGGCCTGATTTCCCTCCCTGCATCCACAAGGCAAATGCCACCTCAGCCGGTGCCTAGCCAGGGCGGTCTGGGAGTGGGCCCAGAGCCACACTGCTCTCTGTGCATGGATGCACACACTCCGGTGGAGGGAAGAGCCGAACTACCCACTCACCAGCTGTGTGACCTTGGGCAAGTAACACCACCTCTCTGAGCTGCACTGTCCTCATCTGTCAAAGGTAGAGATTTGTAGCTGCTACTCACAGGGTTAAGTGAGATGCGACACAAAGGCCCTCTACGCAACACCTGGGACAAGGTCACTGCTACTGAGCAGCCTGCCTTCTGCCAGGCGCCCCTCGCCCAGCCTCTGTGAAAGGAGGCCCTGTAATTCCCATGAGGATGAGAAAAGTCTGCAGATGCTGCAGAGCTTGTGTGAAACGGGCCACGGGTCCCAGATGAAGTCACTGGTGCTAAGCCACACGTGGTCACCAAACCAAGATTGACTGACACCTTCCGCTCTCCCAGAAGTGGCATCTTAAACCAGTCCATCGGGAATCACCCGGTCAGCACCGGTTAGAACCCTGCCGCCCACGGGAGGAATGCAATGACCCACCTTGCACTAACCAACTGCTCTTTTGCCTAGAAAACTTCCTCGTTCAGACCCCCTCTGCCCGTAGTCTGTCTGTCTGTCTTTTATTTGGGGTGGGGGGGGGGCGATTAGCTGTAATTTGGGCCAAGCTGGGACACGCTGGGCCTCAGGCAGGCTGGAACCTGGTCAGGCCTCCCCTCCCCCAGCCCCGCCCCTCCCCCTCGAGCGGGTGGGTCCACCTGAGATTCTAATCAGGCCCACAACACTGTGTCCTTCCTTTTTTTACACAGTGTCCTTCCTTGCCAGGACCTGCTTGTTCTTTATCTTTAAATTATCCCGTAGTCTTTGCTTTTTCGCAGCTCCTCGGCTCTGCTGGATCGGCTACTGCCCAATTTCTGAATCGTTGAATAAAGCCAGTAAGATCTTTAAAACTTAGTTGAATTTTTGGTTGTCGACACTTGTTAAGTGTCAAGCTCATGCTCTTCCAGGACTTCCGTGCCCCACTCCCGCTGCCATGGCACCTCGTTCCAGGAGCCTGTGAGACCCCAGCAGCCGGCCCTGGATTGCT